CGCCGGCATGATAGGTAGATAAAACTAGCTATCGCGACTATATAGCGATGTGCGCTGAAACAAGTGCAATCATCACTGTGAAAATCTTTGTAACTTCTCCAATTTCCCATCTCGAGGCCGCTACTTGACAATTTCCTGACAGAAAAACCCAAAAAATATACTTGGCCCGATCCCAGACTCGAACACACGACCTCAAGATGTTTTGCTGAACATACTATCAACTAAACTAAAATATTCCATATAAATACTCAGCGCTTAGTGATATGAAATGAACAAATGGCAAATTCGGTCGTTGCCTCTATCATTTACAAGTAAATAAATGTAAATAATTTACAAGTGAAGCTTAACGTAGAGCCTCTCTCAACAATGACATGTAAATCAAAACAAACAACATTCATGATTATCATCATCATTTAATAATACCAATAAAACATATGCTATTTGCTGCGGATTTGTCTACTTATTTGCTAAAAATGTCTGGGTGAAGATAATATATGGAGTTTTGGTTTTTGGCCATCAAAAATATGGAGTTAAGTGGAGGAGATAGAGTCCCAAAAAATTTTTAGGAAGAGAAGAAAGTCGATGTACGTTTTTTTAGATATAGACCCAGCTGAGCCATCCAAGGGTATCCCGCCCTAATCTATACATATAATAAAATTCTGAGTTAATCGAATCTGTACATTAAATCATTTTTTGGAAAATCTTATAGTATATCTTATCATTATTATCGATACAGCGGCCGGATCTATAGTTTTTAGAATTTTTATCTGCCTGTCTGTCTGGAACCGCATCACGAGAAAACCAATAGACAGATTTTGATGAAATTTGTTATGATGATAGCTGATTATCCGGGTCAACATATAGGATACTTTTTACTGCAGGAAAATATATCATCTCTGAGAAATCTACACTAAATGTTAAAACGTAACTAGACACGAATCCGAGCGGGGCGAGGGTGAGTCGCTGGTATCTAATAAATTCTAATGTGATTCCCTTGATCAGTGACGTTATGATATACGAGTATAACCTCGGCAACATTTTGCTAGAGTCGCACAGAATGTATGTATGTATATTTTATTGATCTATTGAATTTTATTAAAACGTCTTTCATTTATATATATTATGCACGTTATTTTTATATTTTCTTTGCACTTTAAAGAGTGCATAGAGACAAAATGTTTTTGTTAGTGTATTTAAGCTTAGTACACATAGTTATGTCTCGCTACAGAGCAAGATGTGTAGCTCAACTCGCTAGTTTTGAGTTTTTTTTTGATCCTTTATATAATAAATATCGACTTTCTCATATTGTGTAATGTTGTATCTGTTATTAATGTTAGTTTTTTGTTTTGGCTTTAAAGGTTCCGGTTTCTTAAGAGCGGCTTTGAAATACTTTCAGTTATGCATAAACGATTTCTTTCTTAGTGGTCAGAATGGCCTTTTTAACTGGAGGTCGCGGAAACAAATTCCGTTTAAAGAAATAATTTCAATTGGCTTATAAATACATTTATGACTATAAGTTGTGTTTTATATTGTTTATTTATATATCTGCTAATCGTGCCTAAGATATCATATAGTAATTGAAACAAAAATGTGTATGTATAGCTTGAATTTCACATATCTTTTTGATTATCTGTATATCTTACACTAAGATACTTGATAATAATTAGACCCAGTTATGCCAAAAACAGCCATGTGCGTAAAAGTACCAGCGGAGTTATAAGCATTTTATTATAAAAAATAAAATAATTATAAAAAATATACAATACTTATATAAATGTTTTTGAATTTTAAAATAACCATAAAAACAAAACATAACCCAAATGCAACTATCGATAGAAAAAAGCTTATAAATCTGTTGGTACTTTTACGCACATGGCTGTTTTTTGCATAACTGGGTCCAATTCAGCCCTTTTAACGTCCCACTGCTGGGCACTTGCCTCCACTCAATAAATTCAAGGGTTAAGGCCTAAAGGGCCTTGACAGACTTTTTTAGAAGACATATCTTTGGAAATCTAAATTGCCTTAGCATGAAATATTCAGTGATTTTAAAAAAGTTTTGTTTTTGACACATTCTAATATTTTTCATACATGTGCATTCCTGGCTTTAAAAGATATCGTTATTTATAAAGCTTAATAGTTAAGATATATCAGAGCAAACATATGTGACGAGACACTTTCAGTTTGCCTTTGTCACTGTTTGGTTTGTTGTTCCGACTTTATTTTTACGGTTGAATTTTTCTAAATTTTCGTTTGAAGTTGACCGCCTTGCCACCGTGAGTATTGTTTATATATTAAGCAGCTTCATTTTACGAATTACGTTTTAATGTTGAGTATAGATTTCTCAGAGATAAGATATTTTTCTGTAGTAAAGTGTCCTATATGTTGACCCAACGTTATGTTTCATCAAAATCTGTCCAGTGGTTTTCTCGTGATGCGTTCTCAGACAGAGAGACAGAGAAAAATTCTAAAAACTATAGATTCAGCCTCTGTATCGATAATAATGACTATTTCAGTATGATTTTCCAAAAAATATTTAAAAAGAAATTTTCTGTTTGTCTCGAAATCTCGTATTTAATGTGCGTTATGTTACTTTTTTCGATGGGTTGTTGTTGTAGGTTACATATTTTTACATTTTTTATCTATAAAAGTTTAACGTCACAAATTATAAGTTGCACACAAAATCCACTCCTAAGATAAATAACAAATCTTAATTATATTTAATTTTTTGATACTTATCTTAAAGTATCTTACTATTTTAACATATTCTTTATATTTAGTACACACTGACTATGACCTAGGTGATAGAACTATGACCTAGGTGATAGAGCTAAGACATAAGTTACTGCTAGACTTAAAGTATTAGGTATTACTTGGACGCTACCAAGCGAAGTTGGGATAAGTCGTTTGTTACTTTATAATATAACTTTAAATGCAGGTAACTTCCTTTAGTAATTTTGTTTTACATTTTGTTTATTTATAAAACTTGTTACTCCAGTACTTAAAGACTGCAAGATTGGCACACGTATTCAAAGAATAGCACTAAAATTGATAATTTAAAGGCACTCATTGGGATTGCCACTCAGTTTATGCTTATTTATACACTTTAATATTATATACTTGCCTTTTCCTTCGTCTCTGCTCGTGTTATTAATTTATTAACTAGTGGCTCACCCTCGCTCCGTTCGTATTCGTCTTTAGCTACGTTTTAACGTTTAGATGTTTTATAGATGTCTCAGAGATGAGATATTTTCCCGCAGTAAAAAGTATTCCATAAGTTGACTCAAATAACCAGCTATCATCACACCAAATTATATCAAAATCTGTTCAGTGGTTTTCTCGTGATGCGGTAACAGACAGACAGACAGACAGACAGACAGACAGACAAAAATTCTAAAAACTATAGATTCGGCCTCTGTATCGATAATAAAGACTATTTCAATAAGATTTTCCAAAAAAATTTATTGTACAGATTCAATTCAGTTAGAATTTTATCATATGTATAGATTAGTAACAATATTACCTAAAAGCTACGTGTCACCTACGCGCCGTATCATATATATATATATATATATATATATATATATATATATATATATATATGATATATATATATATATTAATGAGGATGTTTTTTAAATAAATAGATTAGTACCTAGTAGTATTAAAAAAACCTAAATTTTATAAACAATGGGGCAGGAAATATCACGTCATGCTACATGCGAAAAGTAAGTTAATATCAGTTCATTAACCATATAAGGACAGGTTTGTGCTGCGAGAAACACGACGTATTAACCACTCAGTAAATAAATTCATCTATACATATAATAAAATTGTAACTAAGCCGAATCTGTACATTAAATATTTTTTGGAAAATCTGATTGAAATAAACATTATTATCAATACAGAGGCCGAATCTATAGTTTTTAAAAATTTTGTCTGTCTGCCTGTTTGTTACCGCATCACAGAAAGACCACTGGAGGGATTTTGATTAAATTTGGTATGGTGCTAGCTGGTTATCCGGATCAACATATAGGATACTTTTTACCGCGGGAAAATGTCTCATTTCTGAGAAAAAATACAAAAACTGTAATGTAAGTATACTAATATGTAAAACCTAAGAATTTGGTTGGCGGAGCCACGGGCAATGCTAGTTAGATATAAAAATTAAATGCACTGTTCGAGTTCATTGGCCGAGTACAAAGTATTTTATATACCTACATATATATTACCTACCTACATAGGTTCTTCTAATGCCTAGACCTAAACTAAAAAACCGGTTTTCACAAATCCATCCAACCGTTCTCAAATAATTCACGAACCAAAGATTGGCATTTCATTTTAATTTATTTAAATATTTAATTTTAGTTCAAGTTATTTCTTAATTAGGACTTCGTTCATGATTGCTAATTCTTGTTTGCATAACATGTTATACGATTTATGGTTGAGACTTTTTAGATAGATAGATAAATACTTTATTGTACGCCAAAAAGGCATATACAAAAAAAGAAATCACCAATAGTATGAAATGGTAGGCAGTGTACTTGCTACACACAAATACTGTCATACAGAAATACATACTCGTATATATATGTAGGATCCGGGGATATTAATAAAATCGTTTATATCACTATTAACTATTTATTATATTAAAAAATTATACAAAGCAATGTTGACGCGAATCGTCGTGTCGTCATAATGACACAACATTTTTATATCCTCCTACGTCTCCTTTTATTCTTAAAATATCATTTCATGCATACTCATCTTGCAGATCCTACACTCAGCCATCCTGCATCCATGTCTGCCCTCAGACATACACTAAATAACTAAATAACTCTATTAACCTAACATTACAACAATATATAAATTATCCTCTAGTATAAAATTTAAAAAGTAAAATTACAAAACAAAAAATGCCTCAAAAACACATCAAGATGTCTGAATACTACAATAGTGAGGACTAACAACAACGAACACAAGTTCTTCAACTATGTCTGTCACCTGTTTTGAATAGGCCAGTTTTTTATTTGAAGAGACACTGTTGAAGCCTCCACCATAGATCCATATATGTTAGCGTCTATATTTTGTGCATCATATCGATTATTATCTTTTAATTTGATTATTTCATAAGGGCCGACACATCTTGGTTTTACTTTATGCCCAGTGCCAATCTCTATTCTTTTGAGGCTTCTTGTTTTCTTATTTTTTTTAAAAGTTCTTTTAATCATTGGCTTTTGTGAAATTATTTGTTTATTTACTTTAACTGGCATTATCTCACTACTGACAGATATGTCACTCTTGTATTCAACATTTTTCTCCTTTAAGTTGTTAACGGCGTAGGTTTTTGCTAATATTTTATTTCGATTTTTAAATTTTTCGTTGAATGTACTAGGATATTTTAAAACTGTAATCGCATCTCCTTGAGAAGCTGTGAACATGACATGTTTTGTCATTTTGTTGTCAGAGTTACCCGAAGATGTGCGATTACATACGTTAACTGCCGATCCATATTCGTTTCTATTACATGTAAAACTAATGTGACCGAATGCATTGCATTTAAAGCATTTAAGTCCTTTGTTTTTATGTGGACACTGCAAAGATACATGACCCATTTCACCACAATTATAACATCGAGTTCTTCGAATACTTGTAAAATTTTTGCTTCTTTTCACTTCTTTCATTTTACTACTAATTTTTTCGTAAATTTTCAACTTCTCTTTCAATTCACTATAAGTATTTACGCCGTATAACATCATTTTATTTATTTCTTTGTCACTTATTCCTTCAATTATATATTTTATTACTACACCATCTTCCAATTTTCCTCGGATACCTAGTTCCTTCATCACGAACATATAATTTATGCAGCTTTCATCCTGCCGTTTCCTTCTCGCGCTCATAATTTCGTGTATTGCTTTCGCATCTAGCTGGTCCGGAAATTCCTTAATTAACGCAGTCTTTAGTTTGTCCCAAGTTTTATATGGTCGCTCAGTCTTCAGCCAGAGTGCCGCCGTTCCAGTAAGCGATCTTCGCGCTATTAGAAGTTTTTGTAGCGGTGACCACTCAAAAATTTCGGCATTTGACTCCACTTCATCTATCCATTTTTCAATGGAGTAGGCATCGTCTTCACCAAAAATTAGCCACTAATTCAGCCGTCATCTGAAGCATGTGTGGCGGATGCGACCTCGCCTCATGGAACTCCTCGGTTTCCATCTCCCGTCTTTCACGTCTTTGTCTTGACATCTTCGTCGTATAAAATATCAAGAGAATTTTGATAATGACGTCGCGTATCACAAAGCTATGTCTTTCAATAGAGTGTTTTTTATTATCATCCCGGACGAGCCCCCAATTTGTAGGATCTGGGGATACTAATTAAAGCGTTTATATCACTATTAACTATTTATTATATTAAAAATTATACAAAGCAATGTTGACGCGAATCGTCGTGTCGTCATTATGACACAACATTTTTATATCCTTTTATTCATCTATTTCATTCCATTCCATTCTTAAAATTCTAACATACGTCTCCTTTTATTCTTAAAATATCATTTCATGCATACTCATCTTGCAGATCCTACATATATATATATATATATATATATATATATAAATATATATATGTATGTATATATACATGCATAAATACGATCTATACAGATAAATAAAATTGAAGTGTCTGTTTGTAATGTCAAATAACAACGTTTTATTAAATGCATATTATGGAATTTTATACGGTATTTATAAGAAAAACACTATTTTTAAAAATCTTACTCTGGACTCGGATCGGACTTAAATTGGCAGGTAGTTGATGTTATAAGGAGTTACTTAGGTTACTTTTAATTCAGTAAAAGAATTTGGGTTTCGCTCAAAAATTTTAAATGTACCTAGGGACAAATCCGAGCGAAACTAATATTTTCATGTGCGAATCATTTCCAACATGATTACCACTTGTCTTACGGTGAAGCAAAACATTGTGAGGAAACCTGCATGTCTGAGAGAACCTAGCAAGTTTTCGAATGGCATGTCAGGTCCGCCAACCCGCACTTGGCCAGCGTGGTGGAATGATCCCGCTCGTATAAGAAAGGCCCTTGCCCAGCAGTGGGACGTTATAACAATCTTTCAAACCAAAGAAAATAAAATATTGCATGATATAAATAATCTTTCAAAATATAATACAAAGTATTTTGTTTTGGCAAGTAACCATAATAGATAACTATTTCCATAACGTGTTTCAATAAAAACAGTGACTTTAAACGTATGTAGTGTTCATATTTAATCGTTTGTTGTTGACTATCTCTAGTTTGTTGTTCACCTTCCTAACGAGTCAAATTTACGTAAAAATATTCCAATAAATGACGATTTTTGAACCCCCAACGCAAAAAGAGGGGTGTTATAAGTTTAACGTGTTTATCTGTGTGTATGTCTGTGGCTTCATAGCGCCAAAACGGATGACCGATTTTGATTTAGTTTGTTTTGTTTGAAAGGTGACTGGATCGAGAGTGTTCTTAGCTATAAATCAAGAAAATCCGTTCAGCCGTTAGTAGGTTATCGGTTCTCTTCTAGACGGTAAAGGTCTAAATCGATTCGAAACTTGGCATCCATTTACTGCAATGACATTACAATGATATGGTAACCTTGGTCTGATGCTGCAGCGTCACCTGGAATCTGCAAAATACATAACTCTTTCCTAAAGCACTGCCGAGATATAATTTTAAGGTTCATTGAAATGACCTCAATGAATAGGATAGTGTTTGGGGTTGTTTTTTTTTAATTTTTAATTTAATTTTTTTTATTAAATATAAATTAAAAAAGTAAATTATACAATTATTGAAAGAAGGAATTAGAAGTCTACTTTTACATTCTTATTATTTTTTACACAACAATCAATAACAAGTTACAACATGTAACGCCATCTATTGTAATATATTTGAACTATTTCTTGTTTTAAATGGTAGTGTCATCTATATATTATAATCTATACTAATATTATTAAGAGGCAGATTTTGTTTTTTTGATTGTTTGTTTATACGCGCTAAACTCAGGAACTACTAATCCGATTTGGAAAATTCTTTTTGCATTTGATAGACCGTTTATTGAGGAAGGCTATAGGCTATATATCATCATTCTACTGCCCAAGGGAGCGGAGCAGTAACCATAAATGTCAACAAATCGGGCAAACTTCCATACATTATCGTAAAACTGATGTTTATAATGTTGAAGTGCTTTAAGCTAGAAACTTCTGAGCTCATTCCTAAAATGCCTTTTGCATACAACCAGAGGTTTTTTTTGTAGTTTTAACGCGAGCGAAGCCGCGCGTTCTGCCAGTGTAGTATATGTATATTACTTGTTTATGTATGTATATGGAGCTTATTATTCCCTCCACGATCGCGGACACGCCGGCGTTACAGTTAACAATAGATTTCTTATGCCCGATTTCACCAACGTCACCTAAGTTTAAGGGATCCCCTAAGCATGGTTAGGGGGCTGTTAGGGGACAGTTTGTTTCACCGACAGTTAGGGGTCACCTAAATATTAAAAGGCCCCCTAAATTTAGGTGCTCGAAATATGGGCTTAAAGACGATCGTAAAAAGAAATTTAATTTGGGGGCTAGTTTAGGGGACTTTTAAGGTAAAGGTAGGACGGTAGGTAGCTTATGGGTTGTTGGTGAAATCGGGCATTAAAATTTTAATTAATTTCTTAGAAATTTACATGCAGGTGTTAATAATTTTTAGCTAAAAAACCATTCATATTTCATACACATTACAGGTATATTCGCTCCGGTACTTAGTGGCTTACCTACCTATAATAATTTTAAATTTACCTCAACAATAAAATACCTTGACTAACATATTTTATGAGTACGACCTCAATTACGATTTGTATAAGATTATGTTTTTTTGTTTAATTTCATAAATCTCCTTATTTCTTAACGCGAGATTATAACCTTATTTTTTTTATTAGAAGAGAATTAAGTACTAAAAGTAAAACCAAAACTCATATGTATAAAGACATGGACAAAAGTTTGTGGTATTAGTATACTCACTTAAAAAAAAGATTATTTATTTATTTTTACCAAATTCAAGAGAAGGTATTATGATGCGGTTACAAATGATTGTTTTTGTATATATTACATTATTTTCGCGAATTACCATAATTATTTGTCATGAGTAGGCAAAAAATTATAGTAATTTAGAAATTTAAGTAATTTTAATGCCGGAGTGGTCATTTTTTGTTAAAAAAAACAGCCGTGTAATCCTACTAATATTATAAATGCAAAAGTTTTTATGGATGTATGGATGTGGATGTCTGGATGTATAGAAGGACACAAAAACTACTGAATGGATTTTAATGAAACTTTACAATAATATAGTTCGTACTTCAGAATAACACATAGGCTACCGGTTCCAGTGGGATAGATCAGTTTTTGTTATTCTAGAGGTGAACCCGAGGGACGCGAGGGTTAGCCCTAATAATATATACAACTGACTGTAAGATTAATTAATATAGAATTATTCAAAACTCTTTTCTTCCCCAACTCTTGAGTCATTAGCAGAGATTGGCAGTCTTGTATTCTTCAAGAAACAGAATAGCTAAGCGGCACTTGCAATTATTGTATATTTATTTATTAACTAGCATTGCCCGCGGCTCCGCCTGCGTTCAGATGACCAAAAACCAAATTCTTAGGTTTTACATATTAGTATAATCTTACATTGCAGTTTTTGTAATTTTTTTTATAAATGAGATATTTTCCCGTGATAAAAAGTACCCTATATGTTGACCCGGATACCAGCTACCATTATACCAAATTTCATCAAAATCCCTCCAGTGGTTTTTCCGTGATGCGGTAACAGACAGACAGACGGACAGACAAAAATTCTAAAAACTATAGATTCGGCCTCTGTATTGATAATAATGCCTATTTCAATAAGATTTTCTAAAAAATATTTAATGTACAGCTTTGACTTAGTTACAATTTTATTATATGTATAGATTATTTTTGTTTAGGATACAAATGACTTAATTTTATATTATATATACATATATTCTATCATAGTAAAACAATTAAAAATGTAAAATAAACGATTAACACACTTTCAAAAACTAAATAAACCTAACCTTGTTTATATCAAATCCCATTAGCACATCGAACTTGGCCCATTTTTTACGTGACTCAAATATTTACATACATAAATGTACGTAGCGGAAAACAGAATTAACATATTGTTATTCTTCAAGCATCGTTGACAATCAGCTGTTCTTTGGTACGGTCAAGGCCACAATCGTCACGGTCCACGCGTTTGATTGCAATAGTAATGTTCGTTGGACAATGGAAATTCAATTATTATATCGAAAATTCTATTGATTGTGTAAAAGGTTGACTGGAAGAGATCTCTTCTAGAGATAAGTCCACCTTTGCTAACTAATTTTATTGTTTGTTACTCTCTGTATTTTACATATAAGTGCAATAAAGAATAGTATATATAAAATAATCTAAAAATAGGTACAATTTTGTCGCTGTTTAGGTAAATTTTAGTTCGTAAGGCATGTATGTGTATATAGGGTATAGACTATAGGAAGACTATAGGGTATAGACTATAGGGTATAGTGTATAGGGTGGCATATATATATTAACATTCTTTGGTGTAAAAGATCTAATCTCAAATCTCGCTTTTGATATTTTTCTTTATTTAAAACGTATTAATTTATATTTAGAGGTAGCTGGAAAATATTTTAGGTACACTAATTTTGAAGTTTGAAAAAAAATTATGTGTGACGTTTAGAAATTAAAATATCGACTTAAAATTTTCGGAAACAAAATTTTTTAATCTAGAAAATAATAAAATAGCGAGACAAAAAAAAACAATAAACAAACTTTTTTGACCATTCATTTTTAAGGAAGCCCTTAAAACGAAAAATTAACATATTTTCATACGAGACACGAAAAAAAAATTCGGTTTCTTTGCGCCACCCTAATGTGTAAGTAAAAATATTTTTCCTTATAGAACGTTGCCATTTTTTATTGTGTAAAAATCAAATAATAATAATAAAAATAAAATAGTATAAGTATATATATAATACGTATTACATATGCATATATAAATATTGTGTATATTATTATTTTTTACTTATTTTATGCATTTATTTACGTTTATTATAACAGTTTCAATATGTTGGAATTTGCTACACATTCTGTGCCACAAGATAAAAAATCTTTTAAGATAATGAAAACAATTTAAATATAAATATTGTTTGAATTCTATTGAACTTAAAAATTAAAAAGCACTAAAATAAATCAATAAAAATAAGAAAAATCCCTATATTTCTCTAAAAATTAAATTGTATTCAGCCCTTTTTAACGTCCCACTGCACGGCACGGGCCTCCCTTCAATACGACGGGGATCAGGCCATAGTCCACCACGCTGGCCAAGTACGGGTTTGCGGACTTTACATGTCTTTTGAAAACTTACTAAGTTCTCTCAGACATGCAGGTTTCCTCACGATGTTTTCCTACACCGTTAAGACAAGTGGTAATCATGTTGGAAATGATTCGCACATGAAAATATCAGAGGTGCGAGACCCGGGATTTGAACTCGCTTCACTCAGTTTCCCAAGCGAGCGCGTCACCACTGGGCTACCACTGCCTTTTTAGATTGCTAAACATTTCTATTTGGTCAAGACCTTCTCCAGAGAATGCCAGTTGTCTCTATCACTAAACCTAGGTATATTTATAAGTATAATACAAATCTTACACAACTTTACTCTCCTCTTATTCTTCTTTTCCCTCTTTCTCTTCAGAAAAGCTTAGAAAACGATGAGTCGTTGACCTTTTAATCATGTTTAAGGAAATATAATGAATACGTTAATAAGCACACACTAGTGCTTCAGTCCATAATCTGTTTTAACCGACTTCCAAATAAGAACAGCTTGTATGTTCTTTTTAAGGATTTTTAAGAAATCAGATTTTTTCATTTTTTAAAGTTTTTTTGTGTATTACAACAACTAATTTTGGTACTCAAACCATCAAATGAACAGTTTTTATAATATCATCATGTCAGAGTCGCTTTTTTCGGAGACTATTGGTATGATTTCATGTGAACTATTTTTTTTATTATGGTAATTAAATTTTGTTTGTGTGGTGGACACAAAAATAATTTCATTACAAAAATTAAAATAATAAGTGTAAATAATAATTATATATGTAAGTATATAAAAAATTAAGTGCGTAGAAGCGTGTTGATTGAATAAGTTAATGTTAAAAAACAAAAGCATCGGAGCTCGACTTGTCCGATTTTACTATACAGTTGCACAATATCCTTATTTTTTTCTTATTTTGTCCCACAGTTGTACTAAATATTTTACATAACTAACGGCTTACTTTCGTTCCGCTCGTGCGGTACTCTAAAGTGCCAAACATTAAAATATATGTACCCGAGGTATTTCTTTCCCTCCCCAACTTGCGTTAATCTGTTTGTGGCGTGGTGGGTAGGAGGGGGAAGGTGTGGGGGGTGGTTCTTTGTAGCTTCCGGCAGTCCAGCCGGGCGCGAAGTCCACTGGGAGGTGGCCTACTCTACGTATAAGTTATATTACTGTAAAGTTTCATCACAATCCATTCAGTTATCTTATGCGTAAAAGAGTAACAAACAATTATCTTCAATAACTTTCGTGTTTACAATATTACTTACTAGTAGGAATTAGGCATCCGCTAAGGACGGATTTTTAAAGGATTGAAACAAGGATTCAGAATTTGAATGGACAAAAGCTAGTTATCAATAAAAACGTTTATCTTTTTAATTTTAAATAAAGATAATTTCAATTTTGCTACTATTCTTAAGACTCGCCTCGTTAGAAGATATTATAAAATTTAAATTGTTTTTATTACAGATGGGCTGTGCTAAAATCTTTGGAGCACTACGGCGTTGTAAGCAGTTAGAAAATGGTGACAATTCCACCCTCTTGGACCGGTGTCTGGGTCTCTTGGATCTGACAGCTTTAGGGGTCGGCAGTACCCTGGGTTTAGGGGTGTATGTGCTGGCGGGTGCAGTCGCGAAGACCGTGGCGGGACCTGCTGTGACCTTGAGTTTTCTAGTCGCCGCCATTGCTTCGGCTTTTGCTGGTGAGAATACATATTTTTATTTAGTTGGCTAAAACTGATGATCAATGTGTTAAATATTTAATTGTTATGAATTTAATTGTTACTTTTTAATTGGTGTTATATTATGGTAAATATTGGCCATGAATATAACATTCCTTAAATCTTGCTCTTACTGAAATAAAAGTAGCCTAAGTTACTCCTTATCAACTACCTGTCAGTGAAAAACCTCTCAAAATCGGCCCAGCCGTTTCGGACCGACATTGCTAATCCAGACTTAATGAGTTGCCTCTATTTTGAATTTTAGTCTGTTTAGCCTTTACAACATGAAAATATAATATAATTGAATAATTGTATGATTTAGTGATTGATATTATATTTATTACATAAGACAGCGAAAATCCTTGAGCTAAAGAGCAATAGATTATGAAATAACATATTATAAATACCTGTTTTTCCTTTCATACTGTTAAGGTTGCCTTCACAAATAGAAATGTCGATAGGTAGCCACTAACCAATTCATATACTTTAAAATTTTAGTTGAATTTTAAGATTTGCAATATAAAATATTCTAAGAGTAATATTTATTAGTTTGAAGTTAAAAGTGCAGCTTTAGATAGACTAATAGATAGACTACATAGGTATGATGAGTTGTTGCGGGTTGTATTATATTGTGTTTTCCCGTGGGAATGAGATGATCTACCGCGTTAAAAAGCAAACTAGATCCCGGAACTATCTCCTCACAAAAAATCATGCCAATCCCTCGCTCTGTTTCGACGTGAAAAAAGATCAAACAAACAATTAAACAAACACACTTTCACATTTATAATATTAAGTATGGATTTTAGCACATTTATATATTTACAGTTTTTAAATTCTATGCTTGTACTATATCCTAATAAAATTTTATTTTTAATAGCTATTTTAAGTGACACTAACTACGAGTAGGAGTAATGCACTAAGGGGTTTGTTTCATATTACCTACTTACGAGTTCAATTTATACTTGAGCTTGTATATGATAGAATGCAGTCCATATTTTTTTGATATTTTACAATTTTCTCATAATAATAGCGGTTCACATGGGATACCTATCTTCCAAATACCATGTATATAGAAACAATAGTATCAAAGTAAAATGATTGGGACAGACGGACATGTCAAAATTATAAGGGTCCCTGGCTTTTGCCTTTAGATCACGAAATCCTAAAATGAACATGGAATAAACAAAATAAACATTCTCACATCACCTTGAAGTACAAATTACATGCTACTTAAATTATTTTATCTCCGTCTAGTACTTGCATACATTTAAATAGTTTGTTTTGATTTATTGTTAAACCTATGCACCATACACCTAAATAGGGATTCGATTTCCGAGCAGTGTAATAACGAGACTAATGAGATGAGTAAGACTAAATGGTCCTCCATAGCCTCTACTTCTCTACTATTAAAGCGAAAATTTGTATGTGTAAGTTTGTAATATGTATGTTTGGTACTTTGTCACGCTACACTATAATCTAAATACATAGGCACTGTTGCTGATATTTTTGTATCAAAAAGCCCCTAGAGATGCATGCGAGTGAGACGAGGATAAGTATCTATCTTAACACCTCCAGGTAAATTTCTAAGAAATTAATTAAATTTCTAAGAAATCTACTGTTAATTGTAACGCCGGCGTGTCCGCGGTCGTGAAAGGAATATTTAGTTGAATAATGCATCTACCATATATTAATATTTCTGGATAATCTATTAAAACACTTGTATTTTTTTCATTTTCTAGTAGCTCTAGTAATTGTACAACATCATGAAATAAAATATGTGGGGACATTAACACACAGCGCCATCTAGTTCCATGGTAAGCTACGAGGCCTGTGTTATGGATACCAGATAGATGATACACTACACATATATAACTTTAAATACATACATATTATAAATATAAACACCCATGACTGGAGTGCAAACATTCGTGCTCATCACACAAATAAATTCCCCCAGCGGAACTCGAACTCGCGACCACTGGCACAGCGAGTAGGATCACTACAAACTGAGCCAAACGTGTCGTCAAATTATATTGTCTAAGCCCCGAGATTATATTCTTATCAAACACTTTGTTATCAGCGAACACTGCAGACAATATGTCACATTTTTCTACTAAGTTTTATTCTTATCAGAGACCACTTCTCGTTTTGCAGATTTCAACTACTTTCCGCATATCTCAGCAACTTATCGAAATATTTTAATCTATCTGTACGTATAATAAAATTCAAACTGAGTCGAATCTGAATATTTAATGTTTTTTTGGAAAATCTTGTTGAAATAGTCATTATTATCGATACAGAGGCCGAATCTATAGTTTTTAGAATTTTTGTTTGTGGCTAGGATGGACGGAACGCTTGCGAATTTAGGTATTTCCCTCGTATTATTAAAACAAATATACATTTTGAAAATGTAAAGTGTATACGTTATAGAAAACGTATAGTTTTGTTATTATTAAAAAACTGATGAACTTCCTTGAACTATTTACGCCGCACTAAGGGTTTATTTTGTTTTTTAAGAGATCATTTTGAATTTTTTTCTATCGAGGAAACTACAAGTAATCGTGTTTTTAAAGTGTACGATTTATAGAATAAATCCTTAAATATCCTACATATTAATTGCAAAATTAAAGTTTTAGTAATAACAATACAGCAAGGGATCAAACGAGCGCAATTTTTTCGTAACTGCCTCGGTGTGTTCTTAAATAAATAAAAGTTAAAAGCGGATACAGATAAATTCATATGTCAGCATTAATTTTGGAGGTAATTGAAATAAATCTTATGTAATAGACATTTTGAATAAAACTTTGACTTTTTGTTTTTTTTTTTGTAATTTTGTGGGTAGACTGTATGCTACAACTGTACGCCTTTGAGACTAAAAAAATACGAAACGTCGTGAACCAGAAATCAAAATAAATCCGTGAAAAAATCCAAAAAGGTAGTTTTATTAAAAAATGACAAATATTCGCGTAAATCTAAGATAGTATTAAGTAAATTGGGAGTTTATAATACTTGAAGAACCAGACGGGAAGGTTGAGCCTCGCAAGTGTGCCAGTTGGTCAGTGACAAACAACTTCTCTTTTTCCTCAAAACAAAATTATGGCATTATAAATACTTAGATTACTTAGATTTACGAGAATATTTGACATCTATACATATAATAAAATTGTAACTAAGTCGAATCTGTACATTAAATATTTTTTGGAAAATCTTATTGAAATAAACATTATTATCGATACAGAAGCCGAATCTATAATTTTTAGAATTTTCGTCTGTCTGTCTGTCTGTTACCGCATCACAGAAAAACCACTGTAGAGATTTTGATGAAATTTGGTATGGTGATAGCTGGTTATCCGGGTCAACCTATAGGATACCTTTTACCGCGGGAAAATGTCTCATTCCTGAGAAAAAATACAAAAACTGCAATGTAAGAGTATACTAATATGTAAAACCTAAGAATTTGGTTTTTGGTCATCTGAACGCGATTTTGAGAATGATTTTGAGATTTTGAAATCAGGGACATACGTTTAATCTTTTTAAAAACTTCTCTTTCCAAGAGGTTATAAGAAACTAAGTAAACGTTATGTTTTGGTATAAACTTATAACAAATCGATACCTATAATGCCATCTATTGACATTTTTTCGAACTAATTTGTCTATGACTCTGATGAAACCCCGTGATTATGGAATTTCGATGCAAAAAGTAAGGGATGCGAAGCAAAGGTATGTTACTAATGACGCTAAAATTGTGGATTTTTAATGATAATCCGATTTACTTACTCACCATCCACTTGCTCACTATCCTGTTCGCAGGTTGAATGTAAATGAGGCATGAAAAACGGTTAATGTGTGACGTCACGCTTAACGTACCATATACAGAATTCGTTGGCTCAATATTACAAGGTTCTATGTTACAATTTTAGTACTTATTTAGTTATTAATGCTACAAAGTTCTATGTGTCATTAGCTACAGTTTTGCAAAAACAAACCACTAGATAGCGGCACTATAACTACAAAATATTCAATTTTACATAGTTCTATGTTGTTTTTTTTACGATAAAAAAATAACGAAGTTCTATGGAAAAATTACTAAACTTCATTAAAATTAACATAGAACCTTGTAATAGTGAGCCAACGAATTATGTATGTATGTATGTATGTACAGGTAGTCCGGTACCTGGGCGACCGAGCCTTACTCGTCTTTTTGCAAAATCGTGTTTTGACGTGAAACGTCTATCTTTTCGGAATATGAGACTCTGCTGTGACCATAATTATTGTAAAGCATTCGAAACATCGGGAATCCAAATTCAAAATAAGTCCGCGATAAAAGTGAAAACATCGTTTTATTTAAAACGAAAGAATTTAATACATTCTTAGATTTACGCGAATGTTTGACATTATTAAATAAAACTATCTTTTCTGATTATTTCGCGGATTTATTTTGATTTTTGGTTCCCGACGTTTCGAATGCTTTACAGCATCCATGGTCACGGGAGAGACTGAGGTGTTACATGTCTTGAATGTATAGTTGTTACAGACAGCCTACCCACAATCAACAAAATGAAAATTGCACCAATTACATTACAATATTTTTTAACTTTAAACATTTTTATAATTTTAATTATAATTGAATATGGAAAATTATTTATTTAATTTTTGCTATTATTTTTATAATTATTACAATTTTAAAAATATTAATTAGAAAGAATTTATATACACTGCCTATTCAGTGTCAGTAGGTATAGTATTAAAACAATTAAAACAAACTCAATTATGTTTTCATTCCAATCTTTAACAATAAAAGCGATCCGCTGAAAAAGACGTTTCACGTGTGCCCCGACACAGAACCACCTGATGTTTTGCGGAAAAGATGTAAAAATTGCCTTTTATTTCGTAAAAGATACATATTATAACAAACTTAAAATGCAAAACCTTAACTATATACAAAATTTGATGCAAATCGATAGAGCCGTTTTCGAGATACA